TCAATAATACAAAATACAGTAGAATAGTTATTTTGCACATTGCACTTCTGCATTCTGCATTTTGCATAATAGACAAATGCATAATAGAACCTTGCATAGTAGAACATATACCTTATATGGGATCTAGGACGAACGTCATTTGCATTCGGAAAAAAATCCGGACTATGACGGAAATTAATGATTTACGCGGTAAAGCCAAAAGGTCACCTGGATACGAAATAAAGTTAGCACACATATTTATAGCGCCAATAAAAACTTAGATATAATTATCAAGAAAGTATTTGTTACCTTTATATTAGAAAACGACATATTAATGCAAAGTATATATGTAATAGACCCCCCCCCCCTCATAAAAAAATAATATTACCGTAAACATTCTAAAATATCGCACACTAGGCTAACTGAGCACACAGAAAAGGGGTACGCCCACGCTGCATCAAAACCAGCTTTGGTGGCAAAATGTTTTTTTGTTTCATGGAATCAAGGGATGAATAAACTACTAGAATACAAATTTTCAGAAGCTTCCTAAGCTGGTTTTTAGAGAAATTTCACCGTAAACATACTAAAACCATGGGGGGATCGTGTAAGGGTAGGCTCATCGCGCACGCAATAACTTATAAAATAGCTTTGGTGGCTCCAAAATCTTTATTTCACCAAATCAACAGATGGATAAGATATGAACAGGCCAATTTTGATTTACTTTCTATGTTGGCATATCGAGTTATACCACCGCAAAGTTCCCAGCACCTGGATTCGAGGCGGGGTTCGCGGGTGCAATAAACAAGGGGTACGGCCACACTGCACCAAAAAGCACTCCAAACTGGATTTGGTGGCAAAATGTTTTGTATTTCACAGAGTCAAGGGATGAATTAACTACTAGAATACAAAAATCCAGAAGCCTCCTATGCTGGCTTTTAGAGATATATTACCGTAAACGTACTAAATATGTGAGGGAATCGTGATAGGGTAGGCTCGCTGCGCACACAATAACTTCTAAATTAACTTTGGTGGCTCCAAGATCTTTATTTCACCAAATCGACAGATGCATAAGGTGTGAACATGCCAAATTTCATTAACTTTCTATGCTGGCGTATCGAGATATACCAACTAGCACCCGGATTCGAGGCGGGGTTCGTGGGTACAATAAACAAGGGGTACGCCCACGTTTCATCAAAAAGCACCCGAACGAACCAGCTTTGGTGGCAAACTGTTTTGTATTTCACAGAGTCAAGGGATGAATAAACTACGAGAATACAAAAATCCAGAAGCCTTTTATCCTGGCCTTTTGGAGATATATTACCGTAAACGTACTAAATATGTGGGGAATCGAGTTAGGGTGGGCTCACTGCGCACACAATAGCTTTGGTGGCTCCAAGATCTTTATTTCAGCAAATTTCTTTGGGGGGAGGTCTATTACACATTATTATATACTTTGCATTAATATGTCTTAAAATGCTATTTTCTAATATAAAGGTAACAATTATTTTCCTGATATTTATATCGATGTTTTTTATTGGCGCTAGGAATATGTGTGCTAACTTCATTTCGAATCCAGGTGCTGGAATACGGGTGAGAGATTCCGCTCGGTTACTATAAGGTTCTTTAACCTTACCCAAAAAAGGGTTTTAGAGACCTGTCAATTAAATAAGATATTCAATTTAATTTTTAACAAGAAATTGATTCACTTGAAATATCTGGGGGGGGGGGGGGGGAGAGGTTACCGATGAGAACAAATAAGAATAGTCTCATTAAACCAGACTATTATCTTTCAGAATCCTCTAATCGTCGAACTGATTACATTATAGAGCCTGGGCGTTGAAGACTAACAAAATCGAGTACTGCCCCCTTCTAATGACCTCGGCCTTATGGCTTTATCGCGTAAATCATTAATTTCCGTCATAGTCCGGGTTTTTTTCCGTATGCAAATGACGTACGTCGCACATCCCATATAAGGTATATGTTCAACTATACAAGGTTCTATTATGCATTTGTCTATTATGCAAAATGCAGAATGCAGAAGTGTAATGTGCAAAATAACTATTATACTGTATTTTGTATTATTGAAAAGTGTATTCTGTATTTTAACACTGTGACATTGGTATTGTTGAGCATTGGAAATTGCAAATTGTAAAACTCAAATACGTATTTTGAACTACTGACATTTGCAGTTTGCACCGTTAACAATGAAATAATATTGGCAACGTTATACTTCCATATATTACATGTATTATGATCAAGTCTTCCAATGCCTGGCTATTGTGCAACATATATATCAATCTATAAATTTTTTATTAAATGTGAATAAATCGCTAACGCCAGTTACAGTTTGGTTTTCAATGACCAAGTAACCAACATTAGTAAAGTTTAGTCCTGAAATAGAAACAGCATTAAACTAAAAAAAATCAAATTCCATCTCAATAATTAATAATTACCTCATGTAGCATGTATATTTCACAAACACAGGTCATGAGAAACAAACAATTAATTAACCGCAGCCTAATTACATAGTTGTCAAGTTGTCTCTTCATAAAAAGAACAATTGTCCGTTTGGTGGGGGGAAAGTAGAGTACTGTGTGTATATATATATATATATATATATATACATATACATACATACACATTCACAGAAATAACTTCAATTGTTTTTCTTCCTCCTTCAAATGTCTTAACAGTAAACCATCAAAGTAAAACTTCACACACCCCTTTGAAAACATTAAATGTGTCGGTATGAAAATTAAATAGAGCACAGTTAAACAATCACAAGTACATTAAAGTAGATCAACTTCTCAATTTCAATCAAATTCCCCCAGGCTTTATAAATCAGCTTTGATTCAAATTTCAAACTGAGCTCTTTAAACACCTACAGTTTAACCTATCTAGTTTCAACAGTGATCTCATGTTTAAAAAATTAATGTTTAGCCGGAGGTGACACGACTGCCAACAATGTTTTGAGTTCTTGGTATTTCACAATCCAAATATCAAAATTCCACTTGAACCAATTTACTCATCCTGGAACCAAGCCTAAAATTCATATTAATCTTGATATTCTTAAGAGCACTGGAGATGCATTAAGGTGCAACAACCAGCCTTTAATGCAATGAAAATTAATTGTTAGTTACCAATTTTGTTTTAGGCCTTCATATCATACTTCTAAATTTATCAATTAGGATCGGATTGAAAATTACAGTTAATTGATCTAGTAGGATTAAATACCATACCAATATAATCACTGATACTCTGTAAAGATCAGTTTCAGATGTATCATTAAAATGTGCAGAAAATAACTCATCTATAGTATAAAGACACTTTCATTTATTTATACCTACCAATCTGCCATGAATATATGCAAAACTAAATTTACTCATTTGAAGCTTTACATTGTCAGGGATGTAGCCAGGATTTGCTGAGTGGTGGAAAAAATAGCTTCTGAGCGGAGCGAGTAAAAAAATTTTTTGGGAGGGGGCGTTGTCTTTTAGGAAAATTCAACCCTTCTTGGTGTATCTTCAGAGCATCTGCTGCCTTTTGTATTTGCTTCAGTGCAAATCAAATTTCCATTTATATATTCAAGTTTTTACCAAATTCACTTAATTTTCATCAATGATACAGAGACTCTGCCAGGAATCTAAAAACTTTTTGACACCAATTGACCGAGCATAAAATTGTCCCACCCCACTCTGTTTCTCAGTTTTTTTTGTTTTGTTTTTTTTTCAAATATTACTTTATTACTTTGAGATTAAAAATTAAAACGATTCTTAAAACGGTGTTTGCGTTTTATCTCAGTACAACGAATTATGACAACAGGTAGATATTGATAATTAAAACACATTGTTTTATTTGACTTGTGTCTCACGAATTACGACATCCAAACCTTTAACATTGGAGTGTAGTAAATTGGTCTGGGTGACCTATTTACGGCAAATATACAAATTTAAAGACCGTAGAATTGTAAAATGAATAGACCCTACACAACTTCTAAATATAAATAAACAAAATACCAATACTTCTTTCTTTAAACTTATTTGGGATGATATAGGGTCTACAACAGCACACAAAAATAAATTATGCCGTGGCAGACATGGTTTGCGTCGGCTTTTACCATGGTAAATTTCGAGCGCTGAGTTTGTGTACTGAGAAGGACGAAGGGGCGGCTTTCTTTGATTTTTTTTCTTTGTGCTGGGTGGCAAAAAATAGTGCTGGGCGCCAGCGCCCGGTGTGGCTACATCCCTGATTGTGGACTAATCAGTGTAAACCTTGACTGCAATATGGATGGTTTCGAGATTTAGTCACTCTAGTGTCTTCAAAATATGTTTTTCTTGTAAAAGTAATTCCCTAGTACAAAGTATACATTTCTATTGATTTTCTAGTCTGACATCAGCTGAACCCAGACAATTTCACCCGAATTCTGTGAATTAGAAAGCAGCAATAAATATAGCTTTTATCTGCAGTTAATAGAAATAAAATAACAAAATCCCTGAAAACAAACAATAACACTTTAAAAGCCGGCTGTCAGTCAGTGTAAATGACATCTTTATGTTTGAGGCAAAGATCAAAGGCAACAATAATCAGTTTCAAGACCATCAATAAAAGAAATTAGAGGCTATGTTCTCCTCTTTGATGTTGTCCTCCATGTTGACCTGACCATTACATCATAATTACTACTCAAATGGCCCATGGCAATAGTAAATGGAATACTCCTGGGAAATTACTCATAACAATAATACATACTTCTTTTCAGGTCAGACAAGTCACCCTACCCTTACCATCCTAGACAATGATATTTCATTCATTTATTGAAATCACATAGGAACTTGGATCAATACCAAATATATTTATCATTGTACCTCTATTTCGATTAATCAATCGTATTCACAGCCAAGCAATGATCCTAATATCATCAACATCTAAAGAATATTCTCAATACGTAAGAACACAATACATTATACCGGTCCATCGATATATATTCACATTATTTAACCTTAAAAATATGACTTTCAATTTACCAATTATTATTTCATCTTCTTCCGATGTCCCAACCTCCAACTCCTCCTCTTCTTCTTCATCTTCTTCTTCTATATCCTCTAAGGTATCCGAATGATCCGAACAATCAAAATATGACATAATTTACTGGTATATATGTAACATATTGCACAGTGTACATAATACTATAATCATATCCACATCTTATCTAGTGTCTCATCATTTTCTCTATACATGTATATGTAGTCTTTCCATAAACATGGCCACAGTGTTGATACATTTCATACTTGTTTCACTCACATTAAAAATCTGACTTTTGTATTTCCCATTTAAAGATACAAACAATCGCAGACTGCTACATCAATAGAAGCATGCAGATGAAACAAATACTAAAGACATTCCCTCTAAAATTTACATATCAATTCATTCAAGCTGTCTGCTATTTCCGTTCTATTGAAACACCAAACCCTGCTTCCATGGCTTCCAAAGCTCATTACATGCACAACTGATAATGGTGGTAAATAATGTCTTGGAGTATTACCGAATTCATGTATTTTGTCAAAAAAACTGTTTGGGTTCACTAGGGAGATAACACTTGCTATATAAACATCAGACTGCCATTGTTATTGCTAATAGGACACATTAGGTTATCTCATCCTTTAAATTATCCAATGGTGTCTGAATCATACAGAACGCAAACACTACTTATGACATATTAAAACCTGGTATAACACAAGTCAACTCTAAATCACAAATACATGGATATAACATTTATGCCAGTTTTAAAATATCACAGAAAATGAATCAATGAAGAGATGAACTAAAGAACTTGACATTGTTCCAATAGTGAAGTTAGTTGGTAAAGAAAGTATTATTCTATCTAGCTTCACATGCTGATAGCTAACATCACTGACAGCCAGTACCATGTAGCCCAGCATAAAATAGACTACTACAAACAAGCATTAGGTCATTTTGTGTGGGCTAACCTTACTACGTATTTCAGCGACTCACTCATTGATTGAATTTGTCAGAAACAGACAGTAGTAGGTTTAGCCGACTTGTGATTATTCTACAAGTATCTAGCCTTTTAAAGAGTGTAATTTCTTAATGTTGGCCTTTACAAAAGATCAATAACAGATATTATAATACAATCGGTTCTTTTAGTTAGTTTAAATGTCATAGTTTTCAATCATCTATTTGAATAAAGACAGCTGCTTATGGATATTAGTTTATTTCTCTTTAAACATTATCCAATCATATATCAATAAAATCAGGACAATAATATTAGCTTTTAAAATAGACTTTAACAGTTATATTTTAAATGTGTTAGTCATGTGATTTGTAATGTTATTCTATTTCTAGTATAAAATCATTGTAACATAGGTTACATAGGTTGCCAGACAACGAAACATACGCACACAGCAGGTAAGTCATCCAAGCAGTCCACATAGGTTGTATACTTTTTTTTTTGTGGGTAATTGGAGCATTTATACTGAACATTGAACAGTAATAATTAAAATTTGATTGGCTTCTAGTTCAGTACTAACATTTATTACATTCATAATAAAAAACCCCAAATCATTTACCGGTAAGCAGATAACTTTAGCAGATTGAGATATTAGAAATTGTTGAAAATCAATCGGCTTCGAAATTCTTCATCTCAGTTGAATGATAACAAACAATTGTAGACGACTGACTAATGGAAATGATATGAAATGAGGGTTTAATGTCCTACTTTCCTGCACCGACTGCACTACTGAAGATGGGCATACTCCATACAATGTGCTAGGAGTGAAATTTTGCCCAGACAGTGGCGCTACTGACTACTGTTACTTCAAATTCCAACTGTTAAGGGTTCTTTTACGTGCATGCCAGTGTGTACACAGGACCTGCTTTTCGTAACAGTTGAACAACTATACGTTGTCCCTTGCCAGGCTCACCGTTCTGCACTACAGCCAAGGGGAAACCATGCCAGAAAATCACAATGAACATTCTGATGGACCGGGGTGTGATAATATGCCTTTACATTTCAATAAATGCTATTATAAGTTAATTTGTTTGGTAACCACAGAAAACTCTGAATTCTGTCTGTCATTATGATGATTGACAACTGCTCTTCCAGGTTGTCATTTTATGTTTCCTGGTCAGGATATTCTTTTCCACATGGATGTTGAACACATCAATATTATATAGATTATACATAAAGGAGTATTTGTAGCGACAGTATTAGCTGCAATCTATTTAAAGATCAAAATATTATAATTAATGATAACTTGTAATAAGCTTTGAGCAAATAATTAAATAAATATGAGCTAAAGAATCTGTTTGATCTTCATCAAAAAAAATATATAAAAAATTACAAAAAAAAATAAAATAACATGGCTTGTAATTTTGTCTGGGTTTTGAATGTCAATTAACCCTAATACAGGAAGAATAGCATATAGTATTTCAAACACCACCCTAAAGCCATCCATTACTAGTAAATAATAATGACATTATAACAAAATTAGTCATATTTCATCACATTAAATATGTTTTATTAAATATCATGCTTTAGTTGTTGTGTTTTTGAAGAATTACTTGCATTGCATGTAAAAGAGATATAATTGACCAATTTATGTATAGTAGTTCCAGTTTTAACATATTAAATGCTACTCTTAGTTAAAATTGGAAATGTTTTGTTTTTGTGCAAACCCAGTTAGAATTTCCAGGTTTTGACTGGAAGGAACTCAATGACATGAACCTTAATGTACCCCCACTTCCCTCTATCTATTCCTGAAGCACTACAAAAGTAGGAGACTGATTAATATAAGCTTTACAGCTCGTTTCCGAATCCATATAATTTATTACGTATTGTGTGTAATTACATGTTAAACAAGCCAACAGTGAGGATGATGTCCCCCGCCGAAATCCCAAAATAAATAGATGACACATATTAATTAATCGCACATTTATTGTTTTCAAAAGTATCAAGCAATCAAACTGATTGTCAACTATACATTAAGTTTCATCACTCTCTATCAGATAGAATCAAAGATATCTTGTCCCGAAGCATCAACCAATGAAATTTCTTAGCTCTGCTTAGCTTTAGCACGAAATGTTAATCATTGAACTCACCTAATGAACATCTATATCAAGTTTAAACATTCTACCTTAATTAAAAGCAGAGTTGTTATGTTCCAAAGTCTTGACCAATCAAATTGTTTATCTCTCCTTAGTCTAAGCAGAAAATTGTCATCATCAAACTTAGTCAAACTCGGAGTTTCATCATTCTCACTTAATGAAAACCAAAGTTATTGTGTCCCAAAGCATCAACAAATCAAATTGCTTATCTCTGCTTACCATAAGCAGAATATGCTCATCTTCGAATTCCATCAAGGCATTGACCTAATCAACAACTACACCAAGTTTAAACTTTCTAGCTCAATTAGAAGGAGAGTTATTGTGTTCCAAAGTATTGACCAATCAAATTGTTTATTGCTCTGCTTACTCTGAGCAGAAAATGCTCACTATCGAACTCCATCACGGCATTGACCTAATAAATACCTACACCAAGTTTAAACTTTACATCTCAATTATAAGGAGAGTTATTGTGTTCCAAAGTCTTGACCAATCAAATTGCTTATCACTCTGCTTACCCTGAGCAGAAAATGCCCATTATTGAACTTAGTCAAGGTATTGATGTAATGAAACTATACACTAAGTTTCATCACTCTCACTTAATTAGAACTAAAGTTATTGTGTCCAAAAGCATCAACCAATCAAATTGCTTATCTCCATCAAGGCATTGACCTAATCAACACCCACACCAAGTTTGAACATTCTAGCTCAATTAGAAGGAGAGTTATTGTTTCCCAAAAAGTGTGACGGACGAACAGACAGGCTGATGGACGAACCCATTTTAATAGTTCACCCCCTCTCCCCTCGAAAGGCGGGTGACAATAAATACTGTTTAAACCAAATGTATGAAAGATTTATTATCTTCTACACCTGGCACATGTGTTGCTGAAACATATATTATTACTCAGTTCATTTCCTGTTTCTGGTATCAAAGACTAACACAACCCAATTGCATTTAAGATGATTCTTTCTTAAAAATTCAAACCTTCATTCCTAACTTTAGTCACTGGAATTAAATAAAAAATAACTATCCAGTGATTAAAGATAAATGAACATTGATAACCATTGGATAAGATTGTCTGCGATCAAGTACTAGAACTATGACATCATTAGTTTTCGAGTAGCAGATGGTTAGATTAGGTAGTAAGGAAATACAGCATAAAAAAGTGAGAGTTGGAGCAGAACTGTTGCCTATCTGTTGAGGAGCAAATATGGTTTTCATTTCTCATCTCAACTTTGCCAAAAATAACTTTTAGAATTAAGGTGAACTTGCTTAAGCCACAACTTTGAAATCCTAGAAGATGACAAGACCTTCAGGTTGATGGGTTAATACAAGAGATTTCATGTCTTTTAATCTTCGAGAGCCAATTAACATATGTTTTATGCATCATAGACACATTCATGTAGAAATATGTATGTTGTTTGGTTTTTATAAAGTTCTGCCCCATGCTAACGTTTTGTATACAAGGCTTTTAATATCATGGATTGAACTGTTCAAGTCATAAAAATTCATTGAAAATCAATATACTTGTTCGTCTCAAGATCTTAAACTCTGTGTATCAATCTGAAGTCAATCGGATTATAACTTTAGCCTTTAGAGCATCACAAGATTTTGCAATGTGATCAAGGGCCATAACTTTGGCAGTAATTATCGGAAATCGTTGAAAATCAATAGGAATCTTCGTCTCATGACCTCAAACACTGTGTATAAATTTAAACTCAATCGGATATTAACTTTAGCCTCTAGAGCATCAACAAGATTTTTTGAAGTGATCAAGGGCCATAACTCTGGCAGTAATTATCGGAAAACGCTTAAAAATCAATAGGCTTCTTGGTCTTATGACCTTAAACACTGTGTATAAAATGAAAGTCAATTGGATATTAACTTTGGCCTCTAGAGAGTCCACAAGATTTTTCAAAGTGATCAAGGGCCATAACTCTGGCAGAAAATATTGGAAATCACTGAAAATCAATAGGCTTCTTCGTCTCATGACCTTAAACACTGTGTATAAATTTGAAGTCAATCGAATATTAACTTTCGCTTCTAGAGCATCCACAAGAAGAAAGATTTTTTGAAGTGATCAAGGGCCATAACTCTGGCAGTAATTATCAGAAATTGCTGAAAACCAATAGGCTTCATCATCTTATGACCTTAAACACTGTGTATAAATTTAATGTCAATCGGATGTTAACTTTAGCCTCTAGAGCATCCACAAGATTTTTTGAAGTGATCAAGGGCCATAACTCTGGCAGTAATTATCGGAAATCGTTGAAAATCAATAGGTTTCTTCGTCTCATGACCTTAAACTTTGTGTATAAATTTAAAGTCAATCGGATATTAACTTAGGCCTTTACAGCGTCCACAAGATTTTTTGAAGTGATCAAGGGCCATAACTCTGGCAGAAAATATTGGAAATCACTGAAAATCAATAGGCTTCTTCGTCTCATGACCTTAAACACTGTGTATAAATTTAAAGTCAATCGAATATTAACTTTCGC